GGGGGGGGGGCGGCCGCACCGGCATCACATACATACATACATACATACATACATACATACATACATACATATAGACACATATACATATACAATCATTTTCTACACAAATTATATAATAATATATATATATATATACAATATAATAGAATAGAATAGAATAGAATAGAATAGAATAGAATAGAATAGAATAGAATAGAATACAATACAATACAATACAATATAATATAATATAATATAATATAATATAATACAAAACAATATAATATAATACAAAAAAAATATATATATAATTCTCGTAAGTCGGAAATCAATAAAAACCCAACAAATATCACAACCCCAGTCACATAACCACGTGCGTTTGCAAAAGCTTGCTAAGCATCTCCACAAGGTCCAGCTGGATGATTCATGATTCCTTTATGATGATTCAGCCACCGGGGAACGGAGGCTATGGCTTGGGAAGTCAGACCTGCAGCCCTTCTTCAAACACACAGCTGCAACGAGTCTCACCAAACTTACTCTGGCGTCTTACAAAGCCGGTACGGGGCCTATGAGGCAGAGCTGCGCATGAGACACCGTGTGTAGCTTGCCGAAGAACTGATAGGCCACCTGAGAAACTGTTGCGAAGCTAGGCCCGCACGATCTCTCCCGTGTGCTTGCAGTGAGTCGAGGCACGGCGAGCTCACCCTTCAAGCGGCTGCGGGGAGGCAGCCGCACTTGCACCTAGGACCATGTCGACTCCTCGACAAACTGCGGACTGCACACATGTGCGGGGCTGCACGGGCTTTGCTTGCCAGGCAGCGGCAGCTGAATACCACTCTCCGTCATAGCTGATGCGGTCCCAGAAGCACTCGTTGTCGTGCCAGTTCTTGCCTGAGTGTCACTTGCCACTAGTAGCGGGCTGCGACCACTCCATGATACTCCTGGCCCTGAAGTGTTGGGAAGCCACTGATTTGCAAATGCAGTCCCGAAGGTCGCTTTGTGGTCCCGTTGTGGAGTGCCACTGCCACGCCTCATCTTCAAGGGCGGCGCATGAATCCTTCCCCCCTGTCCAGCACTCTCTGCACCCTAAGCAAGCCCACTTGCATGCCTGTGATCTTCTTCGGGGCTGCGATGTGGAAAATCACCCGAAAATCCATGCTGTCCGCGGTCGGATTCGTCAAGATAACCTGCCACGATGGGGCATGCGCTGTGCCCCGTTCTGTCCCCCTAGCTGCTCAGCCCGAAAGCAAGCTGAGTGATGGGCAGCCCTCACATGCCTCAAACCCTGTAAGCTCATGCTTAGAGAATGTTCGAATTATCTGGGCCTCGTAACCATCGTTTTGCACGATGCTCTCGTTGCGGGACGCGAGCTCAACCCTCCAAGCTTGTCCGTCACCCCAGATGGAGCGCTTCCCCAACAAAGGGTTGCCTCGTGCAGATTGCGAAAGTGTTGCGATTGTCAAACTCACAAACGATGACACAGCAATGATGCGCGTGCGCTCAGCATGGACACGAGCAGCCTTACCAGTACTGAAGCATATTGAAGCCTTGCGCATGTTATGATCGGGTTCTGCCTTCAGAGAGGGTGGGCCAGAAACGCCCTTCAGCGGCAATGTCTCGAATCGTGAGCCGTGGAACTGGCCCAGCAGCCTTCCTCACAAAAAGACAAGACAGGGAGTCACGGAGCGTGGGCAGCTTCGAAGACTCCAAGTGCAAATACTGCCGCCATGCCTCCAATCATTCAGGGGCACCGAGCATGCCGCTGTCGGGCCAGATCCACAAAGCCCTTGGCCCAGCCTCGTGCTTCCACGGGTCCAACACGGTGGAAAACCCAATCCAGCTGTGAAACACTCAGCACATGCTGGCCAGCTGCGGGCAACATGCACGTGAACCAGATGGTGTTTGCAACCTCCTCCAGAGGCACCTCTGTACGTACGTGCTGCAAGAAACACGGAAGTCCGGAAGTCAGCAATCAGTGGCTGTTCCGACTGGTCATGCTCACGCTAGCATGGTCTGAATGAGGATGAACGAGCTAAAAGACACTGTGCCAACTTTGCCCCAACCGTGGGTGATCGTACAAAGCTGCAGGGCCCAGAGTTGCGAGATGGTAAGTTTGCGAGCGGGGTCTGCTCTGCTGCAAACGTTACGTACCAGCCAGCACACCGGTCGTGCTGTGCTGCAACTGCAATAAGCAGCAGAGCAACCAAAGCCGACGTATTGAATTGGAAAAAAACGGCAAAATCACCGAAAGGGGTAAGAACAGGTGAGCACATGAGGCTTCACGCCTTGAACTACCCCTGAACCTGTTCTCAACAAGGCATCGTCTGCAGCCTGCACTCTGTTCTCCGCAGCCTGAGCACGTACCCTGACAATGGAGGCAGTACGCAGCAGTGCTGTAGCCGGACCCGCCCACGACCATGGATGTCTCGTCTCCGAGTTCCTCCTCTCACGAGAAGACAGGACGACAACAGGATTTCTGTGGCATCCCGTCTCTGCTCAGGTCCTGAAAGCCGGGCACCAGAGTTCCATCCTCCGGGATCACGTGTAGGTCGATGCAACTCGGCCAAACTCGGAATTCCAGCGTAGCGCTTGCATTGCCACCTCAATGATGCGCGGCTGGCTTGCAAGGTGCCGTCTTGTGTGGCAATACTGTGCATGCCAGAAGGACGAGGCACAGGTTGCGTTCAGAATTAACCACTGGTGCAAATATCTCCCGGCGCGGACAAGACGAACCTGATAGCCTCCAGCAGAGTCGACGCATCAGCTACTGGGCGCGGACAGAGAGCGCGGCAAATACCTACGCCAAAGCCACATTTCGACAAAACCGCTGCTGCGGGCCAGCCTCCGTGGGACTGAAGGTCGTGCAAGTCCCAGGGCCCGCGGCACGGCTCTCCTGCAATGGAGCCAGCTGCAGCTGCTTGTTGCTACTTTGTAGCAAAGAGGAGCAGATGCTTGTTGCACACTCTTTTTCGAAGCAAAATCTTAGGCCTTCCACGGTCGGGCGCAGCGCCAAATACTGCCCGGGACTTTGAAACTGGAAAGCCAGGGTGTCGATGTCCAGAGTGAGGTTCAGGTAGCCTGCCAGGCAGCGGTGCCAAGCCGACGCACCCGAACTACATCCCTACATCCCGTAGGCGGAGGCTGGTGGTGCAGACTTCGCTGATCGTCGCTGTCGCTTGCCTGTGAAGAAAGCAAGGACGCGTCGGAGATTGCTCCGTGGCATTGGGCCGCATGGATCATAGATCTTGCGCCCCTGACGAGGCTGGACAAGGATGCTACTGCGGCTCTGCAGGCACTGCCAAGCCACCTGACGTTTGGCGGGAAAGCGGCAGTGAGAGGAGCCGTTGGCCTTAGAACGTCAGAGATTGTCTGCAGAAAGAGACACAAGAACCCTTGCTCTCTTTAGTTTGCGCACTGGTGCGGTGGCGCAGTGACACACAGCCAAGCGCCTCCAAGCTGCACGAAACAAGTTCCAGGCCCACGGGTTGAGCTCCTAAGGGCAGGTCGCTTCATGCTGAGGCAAAATGCGTACCAGAGCAACCAGTCTTCCGACAGTCCCAACCCCCTGCGTAATCTACCGAGTCTCCCCACGTGGAGGCCCGAAGAGCCAAGAGCTCTGCACGAATGCTTTGGGGTCCAAGACTTCCTCGAAGGGCGCGTAGCGCAGAGCCTCACAGGGCAAAGCGGACGCCAGTCTGCAGGGTGCGCTGCAGCCCTGGTCATTGAGGCGAGGGCCTGGGAACAGACCTCCGCGTCGGCCATGGTCAAAGCTTCTGGGCTCTGAACAAGAAGACAATTAGTTTGGAAATATTGGAACCCGAGCGAAAGACGATCTTTCGTACTCGAAAAGGCGTGGAGAAGGCTTGCAGCCAGATCTAGAGCTGCAGGGTGGCTGTCTGCTAGAGCATTCGACTCAGGAAGGTGGGAAAGCACACGTGGCATCATGGCAAAGGAGAGATTTTCTGCTCGCCTGCATCGACGGTTGTTTCGGCCGAGGGCCACTTTGCAACACAATCGATCAAGGCCGCTGCGTGATGTCCGACGCATGTGGACCTACGGCAACCTCCTCCAGCCGCAAAGACACGGATTGAAGTGTGCCAGCAGCTGTGCTTGCTGCCAGGTCACTACCTACGCGCACTGTGCAAATTCGAAGTTCAACTGCACCAAAACACTGGACACAGAGGTCGACGTTTCTGCTCAGACATCGGAGTCTTCGTCTTCCTCCAGCTTGAGGGTGAAGTCAACCCCAGACACTGGAAACACCGTGCCGTTCCTCAGCTTGGGTCACATCCCAGTTCCAAGACATGGACATCAAGAACACTCTGCAGCCGAACAGATCGAGTCAAGCCGCTCGACCAGATTGATCCCCTCGATCATATCCCCAACGTCAGAGCGGAAGCAGGTGATGGGGGCCTCGCGACACGTGACGAAGAGGTTTTCCAAGATGGCGAGCCCCAGTCCGCTTGCGCGAGGCCTTCTGCACCCAGACGCGGTCCGAGTCCGTGAGTTGGGCCTGGCCTGAGAGGAAGCCAAGGGATAACTTGGTCTCTCCCTGTCGTGCCTTGTAAAAGCTCTACATGTATCAGGGGTTCCGGGCGCAGGGAGCCGCGGTTGCACACCACGCACTCAAGGGCATCTTGCCAGAGTCGCATGCCACCACAACCTCCGAGAAGCCCCGGTCCCGACTCCAGGGCTCTACTTGGCTCCCTGGCCTCGAAGGTATTCGTAGTCCCGGCACCTCTTGCCCTTCACCAGCTGCCCGCCGCAGCGGTACTCACGATATTTCTGGCCTTGGAAGCCGGAGCCCTGCTGTGTTCGGCAGTTCCTACGTGCGGGCAGGAGGCGAGGCCCCACGTCATGATATCGCTTCAGATCCACCAAGCTCCTGAGACTCTAAACCCTGCAGGGAAGCAGATCAAGGTGGCAGGCGCGCGTCTTTTTCGCCGACGAGGTTCACCCAGCCAGGCAGGCTGAAGGGATGTCGGCAGGTGATGTCCTCCGCCTGCAATGCTGCAGGGAGACTCCAGAGTCGACCGACAATGTGCCCGGCTGTAGTCTTAGCGCCCGCGGTGCGCCACCTCCACTTTGGGGTTCGTCAGCTCCTTGTACTTCTTGCGAATCTCTCTGGTCGTCGGCTTCTCTCCTTACATTCAAGAAGCCTCTCGCACATCACTTTGCAAAGCAGAAATGCCGCAAGGGATCGAAATCGTCGATATTCGACCCCGGGGTAGGCCGGCTGAACCAGGACCAGGCCCGGATTGTCCTTCATAAGCTCCAGGCCTGGAGACGGGCAGGTTGAACCGTGCCGTGTCGAAGGTGCGATGCTCAGAAATGATCAACGATGCACCACAGTTGGACCATGCTCTCGGCCACGGAAACTAGCGGCGATAGGCAGAGGTGCTCCTTCCTTGTCATAACACAGCACCTGCATACCACGGTCCGCAAAGTCGACAACTTCCATGCTAAAATTGCCAAAGTTGAATCTCATGGCTGGTGCGTCGCGACAGTGGACAGGTGCGTGCGCCCGACGCGATCTCTACAACGAAACTTCACAACAATTAAAACAGTCTTCAGCGCGCTGCTTGTGCGCATTCGAAAATAGAGCTCGATTCAGTTGTGCAAGAAAAACAAGTTTTTGCGAAGGCGCTGTCTCTGATTTCAGTTTAGCATTATTATCATCTTGCTCTGCCTATCACTCCTGGAGATCTCCAGCTTGAACTGTTCAAAACTTGTTGTGTTTGCAGTTGCAGCTTTGCAGCCTCCATCCTGTTCGTCTTGAGCTGTGTCGAACAGGCTTAGAGTTGTGTCTTCAAACATGCAAGGCGTAACGGACATGGTCCTGTGATCGCATCCCTCGGGGAACGAATGCTTCGGGCAGGGCGCTATGCCCGAAACTACTTTCTCGTTTGGCCAAACTATCAGACCCGGTGTCGCCCGCTTAACCTTACCCTCCACACACCCTAGCTGCCTGCGGCGACCCACGAGTATTTTCGATAGCTCATCCAAATCACCTCGACCTCCACGACCACCAAGTAGCCTCAGTCGCAGAAATAGAATGCTTGAATGCTTTCGCCGCCCTTCACTTCGGGATCGACGCACCAAGAGATCTTACCCGTTTCTGGCTCCGAGGAGCCATGGCTGCACTGGTCGATGGCAAAGTAGTGTGCTGGCCGCTCCTTCCCACAAGCCCGCTGAAGCGAAAGGGGGAGTGGATGAAATGAAATCCATACGTTCTCGACATGGGTAAGATCGGCAGGCTGGCAGCAGAGTTTTGCCTGACAGCGTCCTTCTCTTCATAATCTTCGTTGAACTCGCTGAAAGACACGGTCTTGTGCCGGTCCTTGAAGTAGCATCAAGATGTTAGGGACCTCGAACTAGAGGAGACACTTAAAGCCTACCTGGCCATGGTCAACAATGGCCGCCACCTCTTCACCCCCCAACCCCCACCCCACAACTTGTCACAACCGCCAACCCGCTACATCCCAATCCCGATAACTTCAACTCGGGCTGTCATAGATTGATTGATTGACTGCCTGTGGGTGCGAACACCCCAAGGCGCTGAAAGCTGCTCCGACACTTGGCAGCAGTGACAGCACACCAGGACTAGAAAGGCAGGGGCGCCACAAAGCCCTGCGCGCAGAAGTAACAACAAAACATGAACGTGTGCACAGGGTGCCAGGGGCATCCCCTCAGCACGGAAGCTTCGTCATGTACACTGAGACTTTCGGCTCTGTCTGAGCAGCGCAAGACACCCGGCACACCTGCCAGAATGTGTTACCAAGCTTTTCCCTTGTGTGCAGCCTTCCTTATCCTTGAACTTCCTGTATTTGGTTCCGTGGAATGTTCTCAGACTCTTACAGTGGGTTTATGATGTTCAGCATAATTTCCGCAACAAGACTACATAACTATCAATTCTCGCGTAGGTTGGCATTGTTCGTCACAACTCGTGTGAGGTTGCGAAAACTAAGGGATCTAAGAAGAGCGTAACAAGCTTCAAGAGTTGACCGGAAGCACCTTGAACTGGCCCATAGCACAGTCTGCAAACACCACGGTGGAAGTTTGTGCCCAATGCTTTCCATTTTTTATACTGCAGCTTCTGTCTCCAAGCGTCATCAATATCAATTTGTTCGTAGGGATTCTATATGCTGCTCGATTATGCATTACCAAATCGAAACTGTCTGCTTACAAACAGACCTAAAATCCCCACTTCTTTTTCAGTTTACCAGTGTCATAGGCCTTGTGGCTAGCTTGACGCGACCAGCTGTCCGCAAACACCCATCGACCTGAGACGTGCAGCTTTCGCATTGCCTGGCATGCTTCTTGGGGCTTGCAGGGCATTTCGGAAGTGGGGCGTCGGCGGAGCCCCAAAAGGGTGATTCTGACGAGCTCGTCTGGCCCCATAGCAACAAATGGTTTTGTGCACATCTGGGCAACATGCCCATTCGGTCGCTGTGGGCGGTTTCCTGTTGTGGTTGGAGCGCTGGGATCAGAATGATCAAAAAACAAACATACAAGGCCGCCGAACATGGACTCGTGGCGTTTGCCGTGAGCACTGCACATGACTGTTCATGACTGCACGATACTGCACGTGCAAGCTGCTGCAAGCTGTCTTGATGCACCGAGATTCCCGAAAGCCTGCCGTTGGCGGATGCTCGAAAGGATCCCAGTTAGCTGTCTTGTTGATCCGCTTGATGAACCTGGGCTAGAATACAACACACCACCGGAACAATGCTTGTAAAACGCTCTGGATCATCGGAATCATGCGAGCAATTTGGCGGAACTTGAGCTGTGTGCTCGATTGCTTGTGGCGAAAGGCGATGGGCTGGATGGGGGAGTAGAAATGCAGAAGGAGCATTAAGCCGCAAGCCTCAGAGCACCGCCGCATTGCGCTTGCCGAGCCGCTTCTGCGAGTAGTCCACCACTAGCCACTTGTCGAGCAAGCCACTGCTGACGAGCTTCTGCGCGTTGTCCTAACATTGATGCCGGGAAGATCTGCCCTTGTGCAAGAAACCACGCACTTGGCAGAAACAAACAGAGCAGCATCTTGCACAGCTGCACGGCCAAGGGTCAGAAAGCCTTTCGCTGGGTTTTTTCCCATCCGTGTCAAGCACGATGTAGCTGCTGACGAATTTGAAATGCTGGTGCCGGAGGATCTGCGCAACCTGAGGACATCGCAGCTGCAGAGATTCTGTTTTGCAGGGGACTGTCTCGCGGAATCCGCCAGTGGAGTGAGGCAGTCCCCGAGTAAAAGCGTCCAAGGTGCCCTTACTTCCAGCTCTTTCCAGTGGTCCTCTTTCGCAATGACGGCGAAGCAAACTCCATCCTCGCTACCTGCGAGGCCGCTTCGAAAGCAGATTAATCTCTCAAACTCTCCCGCTCTCCATTCACAGAAGACTCCATAATCTGGAACACACAAGGCAACAGCATCTCGATCCAGCCCAGATCCATCAAACGACGTTGGAAAGTTTTTGTGCTCGGATCACCTTCTTCACATGCAGCATCTTCCATCATGATTCGTGCACATTGCTGCTTAATGATAAGGCCAAATTACGTGTAACGCCCAACTGGGCTTCATGCTGCCGCACATATTTGCAGAGAGTACTTGCGACAAAAAAAATCGGCGCCTGCTACATACTCTCCTTGCTTGCAGTGATCGCACCATATCCTTCTGAAGATCACGGAGGGGCTCTGAAGATTCGCAGTTTTGACGCTGGCCCATCTTCGAAACCAAAACGGCTGGCCTGTGTGACCTTCTCAAAGGACTTCCTGCTATGCAACCACCCTCAAGACCCGGGAGCGCCTGAGTCAGCCGCGCAGGAGCCGGAGCCCTGAGGCGATTGTCAGTGCAACAGCCGCCCGGCATGGCGCAAATGTTGGTCAGATGCATGGTTCAGGTTTGCGAAGGCCGGGCACTGCGCCCGAAAAAACTCATTGCCCGGGCACATCGTCTGTGCAGGTGTCCTGGCTCGATGCGACGGCCAGAGTCCTGGAGTCATGGGGAGCCACATGCTACACGAAGTTTCCACATTCGCAATGTCCGTCATCCTTCTCAAGGCTTGGGATCAGCAGCTGTCACGTGCTACGTACTGTCTGCCAAGCTGCGCAGCAACTGACAAGCAAAGCCGCAACATGGCTCCATGCGGAGAGTGTAGTGAGATCATGTCACCGAACTGAACAGTTTGGATGCATGAAAAATTGCAGCTGCATGGCTGAACGTGCGCATGGAGAATCTCGTGTCCTACAAACAGGTGCTGGACGAGAGCAAAGCATGCTAGGGGCTCTAATGCGGAGATCATGTCAAGAAGGGAGCTTCGTGATTCACTGGCTGGTTGAGCAGATTCCGAGAACAGTATGATTGAGGTTAGGGCCGTTAGGGCAAGCGAGGCTTTCGGTCCAGAAAAAGAAGATGAGATTCTTTCCGCTTGAACTGCCCGCACATCCAATTCATCACTGGGACCATGTTGGTCCCAACTTGACTACCAGCTATGGAACGAGCCCCTTGTACTCGGAGCCCATGTCGGCAGCTTCCCTTCCGGCTTCGATGATAATAACCTCAGTCGAGGGGGCACAGTCCATTCGGGCTGAACACAGCAAAAGCCCAGGGCCAGGGCATCTGACTTCAGCCTGGCCATATCATACCTTGCGATACGAGACAAGGCAGCTAGACAAACAGCTCCTTCGTGGGCAGCTCTTGCCTCACAGAGGTCAACGGGGCATGCTGCACCCAAGACTTCTGCCAGTTGCTGAGGTGAGCCTGTCAGATCGCTACACTTCGCCAGACTCTCCAGGAGACCGCAGGAACTTTGGCCTGTCGTGTGTTCTCGCTGTTGCAGATCACACCTGAGCAAAACGAAATGGAGGAGCCAGCAACTCCCGAGATGAAACGAAACGACGGTGCCTCTCAAACTGGTCTCAACAAACCCTCTGCGGAAAGGACGAGATCCATGCAGACGGCCCAAAACAGGAGCGAAACAGACGGCGAACAGACTGAGAGAAACAAAAACACAAGGACCCTGTTTCCGCCTCCTCGTTTTGGGAAGGATGCTCAGCCAAGGCTTCAGGACTAGGCAGGTACCAGTAAGGGGCCTTATCCCCATCTCTGAAGTATACAAGATGAGCAGCACTCCACTGCAGCTTCCCAAGTCCGCAAGCCGCCACACTTTCTGACGTACCTCTGCCGGCATGTGAGTAGAGAGCTTAGGCAACTGAAATGTGAAGCGGCGACACTGTAGCTGCAACAGAGTCGAAGTCTCTAGAGCAACTTTCGTCACAGCCGAGAAGCTTGAGCGATCTGCAGGGAATCCCTGCAGAGCAGAGCAGGTGCTTTGATACTCGGCGACCCTCGGGGCACATCTGGCCTCGAACGAGTTGGCCCCCACAACGATACTCAAAAATTTGACTTCGCCCTGGGAGCCGCCGGTATCTGTGGATGTCCACCAAGCAAGATCTGCCTGGCTCCGGATCATGGACAGTGCGACTTCAGCTAGGCCTCGTTGTCGCTGTCGTTGTCGTAAGTGGTGGTGGTGGGTGTGGCGTTGATGCTTGGATGCTTGGGCTACGTTTATTTTGACATCAAGAAGGTCCCAGAAAGGCTCCTCACAGCTATCAAAAACGCCAGTCAGAGCGAGAAGAAACAGAGCGAGAGAGAGAGGGAGAGAGAGAGAGAGGGAGAGAGAGAGAGGGCCACAAAGAGGGAGGGAGAGAGCACGCGCGGCGCGAGCGAGCGAGCGAGCGAGCGAGCGAGCGAGCGAGAGTGGGCGGAAGGAGTCGAGAAAAACCCAACCAAGGGAAGCCCACGCAACTAAACTTTTAAACGCTCACAAAGCGTACAAGGCCAAGACCCGACCCACCTGGCAGAGTGAAGGGATGCTGGCAAGTAGTGTCTTCCAGCTTAACATCTCCTTTGAGCTGCTCATTGAAGAATTTGGAAATAGGCCTGGGCAGCCGCAGGCTTGCACGTAGTCAGGTCGACAAGTCTGCAGCATACAAGCCTGCAAAGACGTGTTTATTGATTGAACCACCAGCGACCGCTCCTGGCACCGCTCTTTGCGGTGTGCACTCTTCTTCTTTGCTTTGAGCAATAAATTGTTGCAGTAGCAGACTGCTCTATCATTGTAAATGGTACTGGTGACACTGCACGCCCAAAACTACTGCAAACACCGTCCGTGCCCGCTGTCTCGAACTCCAGCCACACGAAAGCTGTGCCGATCCACCTGGTGGTGGGCCGAGGTCGTACTCTGCGCGACGCGATGCCCGGGAAGGAGGGAATGATCAGCACCTGAGTCTTCGCATTCCGGGTCAAGGCTTTTCCTGTACTATAATGCTTGCATTCAAACAAACACCTCCGTGTCCTCGTGTCCGTTCTATGTTGCTGTATCTGTACAAGCTTCGTGCAATGGGTGCGAAACTACATGCGGGCCGAGTGCTTTGGTTCTGCGGTCTACTGCAATCTGCAACTACGCTTCCCCATCATTCTCCCTCACATCCGTGTCCCGCATTTTTGTTCCAGGCACGAGCCCCTCGTTATCACGGAGCGCCTGCATCGCCTCCTGCCATCGAGAGCAAGGAAAAGAGGCTCTCGTCTTTAGGTCTGCTGATACTCTCAGACCTTCACAGCAGCTGTAAACTGACAGCTGATTTCTGGACTCCAATCTTCACAGCACTTACTGCAAACGCACATCCATGAGGATTCTTTTCACAGCGCAGGCCTAATGACTCAAGGCCTGGTTTCGAGAGGAAGGGCAACAGCAGACAGCTCATGAGAGTGATGCTTTCCAGGAAACATGCAACATTACATGTTAAGCTTCACAGCCCCCGAAAAATAAGAGTTTCCTGGAGCATCCTCCCAAGATTGATTCTTCTGCCTGTTCAGGCCTTGTCTGCCGCCCTGCAGCGTTTGCTGCTCGTCAGTGACCTTAAAGGTCGAAGCTTTAAGCAGTCGCACCAATGGCTCAAGGTGCGCCCCCGGATACTTCGTCAAAGAATCGGCCGGGTTAAAATTATGCGGAACCCAGCGCACTCGAGATCGGCAAACTTGCAGACTCTCCTTGATCACTGCCACCTCGAGGTTCGACCGCTCGCACTCACCAGCTTGGTCGTTGAGAAGACTGTCATACAAGGCTTTCGCGTCGATCACTACCACACTTCGAGGATCGCGAAACAGCTCGGACTCGTGGGAGATCACCGTGGATCGCCCCTGCAGCTCCAAGACTTCAGCTTCCTGGCGCTGTCTCTGTCGCGGCTCGTAGTTGGACAGCCATAGAGCGTCCCACAAAGCGTCCTGCTTTTCCAAGCATCCAGTAGCTGCTGACAGGGACAGAGCTTCACACAGCATTGAGCTCGCAGCCTTTCGTCTCAGTCGACGCGATCTCCAAAGCATCAAACTAACAGGAGCGACCTTGCCGAGGTTGAGCTCGTCGTTGGTAAACCCCAACAAGTAGCCATGCTGTGACTTTTCCCGGCCGGAGGTGTCGAACGCGGCATCGCTGATCAGCAGATTCCGTACCCGATCTTCAGGAATCGAGTGAATCCGAAGCTTCACCGGGTGCTGCTTCAGCTGCCGCACCATGTCGTTCGCCATGTAGATCACCTCCACCGTTGGCTCGGGAAACGTTGATGCCAGGATGCTGCTTGCAGCCGCAGCATCTGGCCTAGCCTCTCTGCCAACCCACGTCAAGGTGGCCAACACACCTCGAAGTTGCGACTTTTCGTTCTCGTCCAGCTTGACGTTTGGCACGTCCTTCTTGAGTACTTTCCTCGCCATGGCGATGGGCGACATGCGAGTATAGATGTACTCATCCATGTGCATGACAAAGGAAAAGTCCTCGAGCTGCTTGATGGACTTCCCGGCGTAGCTGGTCTCGGCCTGCTGCAAGTTGATGACCTTGCCGAAGGTGATCTCGGACTCCAGAGTGGCCATCAGCTTGCGATGCCGTTCATCTCCGCCCTCAATCACGTCATCCACCTCAACGACCAGAAGTCCTTGCGTAGGCTGTTGAGGTTCTACGGCGGGCAGCACCAGCACACACGGTTCGTACGGACACACACGGTACCCCAGCTTGCCAGTCCGTTGCAGAAAACTGGAGCGCCACCAGGAGGGGCCGCTAACCAACCCGTAAATCTCAGTTAAGAGCAAAATGAGCTGCCTTGGATCCAATCCGGGCAAACATTCATCACGGGGTTGATTGCAAGCAAGAGGGGTTTTTCTGCTAGTCGGCCGCGACTGCAGAAACGCAGTTTTCACGTCTTTAACGTACGTGGTCCATCTGCGGCTGGCGTTCACTTGCAGCACGGTGTTCACTGCTGCACTCGAAGGCGTAGGAGCCGATCGCTCGATCTGATGCACATGTGGGTCTGCCCAGCCCACTACACACCAGCGGGACTTTGGCTGACTTCTGTCCTCGGTCATCTCCAGGGGCTCCAGGTCTTCGTTGTCCATCGCCGCTTTCTTGGCCTTCTCGATGTCCGCCGGAGAGATCGCGACGGGCTTGTAGCGATCCACGAACCTTGACTCAAGCACGTAGTCGGGGTGGTTCCTCCGGAACTCTTCCGACTCCTTGAGCGATAGCACCCGGATCGCCTTGTTTGCCAGAAGCGATTCCATCTCTTTGGCCCGGCTCTTGCGAAAAGTCTCTCGTTCCTCACCCTGGAGCTTAGAGAACTCGACTTGTCCAAAGGACGTTTTGGCCTTAGTCAGGTACAGGCACTTGTCCCGCTCGCAAAAGCTTGCCTCGGCTTCCTGGCACCCAAACGTAGTCTGAGGCTTCAGAGGCTCCAGGTGGGTGCGGCCCGAGGTGGTCAGTCGAGTCCACTTCGGTCCTTTGCTTGTCAGGAAGTTGCTGCCGCCAACGTCTGGCTGGTCAAAGGCCATCACCTCGAGGTACACGGAAGGCTTGATCTCCTCTTCCAAGAAGGTCTCCTTCGCAAAGTAGGGGTTGTGTACTGGTGGCCCACGTCGCTCGCGCACCGGTCCCAGCAGCATAGATCCACTGCTAGCTTCATCCACTCGGATAGGTGGACGATCTGGCAACGAGGACGGTGCCGTGGCTGGAGAACTTGAGCTTCTCTGGGGTTCACCTTGGTTGCCGTCCACAGGAACCGACGCAGCGCTGTGTCTCCTGCTGAGGTTGGGCTCGGACGGAAGAGGCCTCTCGCTGTAGTTGTCGCCCGCAGTGGTGGTGAGGTCGTCAGCAGGTCGGTCCCCTGCAGATTCCGGGCGACCTTCAGGTTGTGGTAGCTCTGGCCTGTCGTCCTCGCCAAACACGTCTGGAAACAGTTCCTCCAGCTCGTCAAGAGGTGGTTCTCCTTCTTGAGTGACATCCTCATATCCCGATCGGACTCCCTGACGGATCTGGTCGAGGAGATCCCGGTGCAGCTCTAGCACAAGAGCGGCCCCAAGGTCTTCTTCACTAGAAGCTGGCCGCAGCTGCTCGGCTGACACTTTCCACAACCGTCCTCTCATGTTGACCCACCAAGTGTTGCCACCCGGGGTCATTGCCAGGAGAGCGCCTGGCCCAACCCAGCCGTACCTGCTTCCTGTCTTTCGCCAAACGAAAACCCATTGGCCTGGCTGGAAACTGTAGGCGTGGACATCCGAGCGCCGAGTCTGGGCTGCTGAAGCTCGGTGGACCGCCGTCACATCATCCTCTTTGATCCAGGCCGCCCGGGCAGCGTCACGAATTGCCCAACTCCGCTGAACAACATCTCCAGCGGCCGCCTTAATCATCTCCTGATCCCACCGGTCCGTTGCCATCAAGGAACCCGGCAATCTCAGAGATCGGCCAAATAGCCGCTGGTTGGGTGAATACCCGCGGCGGTCAGACAGGCTGTTATGCGCAGCCACCACTTGTGCCACCACGCAGTCCAGCTCTTCAGAGGATGCGGACGTCTCCTGCAGAACCACTTTGAGCTTTCGCTTAAAGGTGCCCACTGCTCTCTCAGCTCTCCCATTTTTCCAAGGAGAGGCGGCGTCTGTAAAGTGTACCGCTGCACCCATCTGCGACACAAACTCCACAAACTGTTCTCCGGCGAATTCCGGCCCTTGGTCGCAAATCAACACCTCCGGAACACCATACGGAGCAATCCAGAACTTGTTGAATGCACGTCTCACCGTGAGGGCCTTGGCGTCTTCGCATTGGACCACCTGGAGGTACCCGGTCCCATGGTCCAGGCACAACAAGAAGATCCTTTCAGTGCCAAAGAGACTCAGATAGAATAAGTCGATGGCGACCACTGCGTTAAATTCGAGGGCCTTCGCTAAATGTGCCGGACGCGCGGGCAATGTCTGCTTGGCCGCTTCGCAAAGCGGGCACACGAAGAACTCTTTCGCCCACTGCAGCACATCTTCGCGTACTCCGGAGTGTCGGAGAGCACGCAAAAACACATCCTTCGCAGGATGGTTGAGGTTCCGGTGAACTTTGAAGAGCTCTCGCCGTAATGAAGGGTGTAGAGAAAACCTTCCAGTCGGCTCGTGCTTCCTGAAGTCCTCAACCTTCTCCAATGCAGCAGCGACTTGGCTATTCTCCGTGACAGGTCGGAGAGCCCCTCGCACTTCTTGTACGGCTTCATCTTCTTCTTCTCCCTGCAATCCTGACTCCATCTCGGGTTCAACTGCTGCAGGAAACGAAGCTCGCGAGGTTGGTCCACGAACCATTCGAGAGGTGTTCGCTGCCACATTCTCCGCAAAAGCCGCGAAAACCTTAGAATCCTCGCTCTCCCCAAAAGAAGAAGCAACCGAAGCGCGGAAAGTAGCCGCCGTCTGAAGTTGCACAGCTTGCACCAAGGCATCAAAGGAGTGCCGATGTTTGTCCACCGTGGCCTGAACAGCTGGCTTAGCGGGGTGGTCGTTGCCATGGAGAACACCTGGGTGACATAAGCACTCCAAAAAGGCCCGAACACACCACTCCAGCTCTTCTGGATCCGAGGACACCCACCCGCACTTGTGCCAAGCAACTGCTTCGAAAATCCGAACCAGTGTCTTATCATTAGTGAGGATGTTGAGGCTGGGTCCCGGCATCACCAGGTGAATCGCCACGGCCGCCGTGGCTGATGGAAGCTGGCGGAGAAGACCTTGCGTCGCCTTAGGCACGGCCACGAGAGCAAACAGTCGACCTGACGAATCTTGTTCTCGAGCAATGGTAACAAAAGTTTCTCGACTGCTGCCCTGCACCATGCCGGTAACGAACGCTGGACATGTCTCCTGCACTGCTTGCACTGATCTACCTCGGTCATGCCTTTTTCGGAAGTCCCAGGCAAACTGAAAGCTCAACGTACGGACACCGTAGGGACCCTCGGCCTGGAGATCGCCATCTGTGACCTGTGTCATGACCGGAAGCACCTGTGGCAAAGGTATAGACGAGACCCTCCATGGTGTAGATCGCTGTTTTCCTGCTTGATGCAACGAAGTGGTAGTAGATACCGTCGTGGCACCTTTCATTCTAGACTCTGGATAGCTGCTTCCTGAACTCGTAGTTGTAGTTCCTCGCTTCTCGCACGCATTCTCTGACCTTGTAGTACATAAAGTCTTCGGGACCCTCGTTGGTGTAGATCGTTGTTTTCCTGGTTGATGCAAGGAAGTGGTGGTAGTAGATACCGTTGTGGCCGTTCTTGACATCGTAGTCCCATCGTTGATTGGTGCACCACAACACGCTTGCTCCAGCTTGTTCACAACGAAGGTCTTCAGGGGTCGGGGCAAAGTGCACACCGAACTGCAAAAGAAAGAGCCGTGGTAGAGGTCGTCGTACTCTGAACCCGGCATCCTGAAAAGAACATAGGAAAAACTGCCAGACGAACCACCCTGCACATAGCCGGCCTCCAGCCGTTCGAAAGGCAACTTCGTACTCGGAGAAGCTGCCAAAGGTGGTGGTTGTCCCAGCGTTGAAAGAAGAATTGCGAGACCACACGCAACCTTGTAGCCTCTTCGTGCCATTGCTTGCTGCACCTCCAAAGGCGCACACTCCAGCATGGAGTAAGTCGTGGTGCTCGTGTTGCTTTTTGACGTATGCAAAGCTGTCACTGTCTCCTGGCTAGACTTCACAACTCGTCCTGCTCCGCCGGGTCGACCATCGCAAAGGAGGACGGCGTCTTGTCCATTCGCTCCTCCTGGTCGCTGTCGTCGATCGCATAGAGCTCGGTTGGCTCTCCTGCAAGTGCACCTGACGGCGACGGGACCTCTCCTGAATTGGATTGACCCCTGCCGGCAGGCTTCGGGACCGTCGAGGAGTTGTCGCCCTCATGGGCCCACTCCGTCGTGGTCGCTGTCCTCAAACCTCGCGCATCGACTCTCTCCAGGTCCTTGACCGGGGAACCTGGTTGAAAGAGGGCCAACGCTCTCATCGAACTTGACCCTTGGCTCTTGCTGGCTTCGGGCTCCTTCTGGCTTCCATAGTCGGGCTCCTCGGTGAACATCGTGTCCGGATACTCCTTCGCCCCTGCGTTCGCCTTGTGGATGGCCTTGCGGAGAATCGTTTTGTCCGGGTAGGCCGAGTTGCTTGCCCCTGGTCCGGTTGCTCTGGTAGCCGAAAACGACTTTGGAGGAGTCGAGGAGGCCGAAGTCGCCGGTGCCATCCTGGCTTGCTCCAAAGTGAGGGTGCCGAGGTCGTTGCGAGACCGAGGCGGTGGCAGCAGTTTTGGGGGTGCTGTAGTTCGATAGACAGGCTTCACTCGCTCGGGCACAGCACCCTGTCCTGCAATCGCCACTGCTGCCTCGGTTCGCTCCCATCGACTCCCGCAGCTCAGGCACACCCACCAGTACTGGGCTTGGTTGCCCCTCATCCGAAGCTGATCTTCCGGATGCTCGCATCTCTCCGGCTCGCACGGCCATTGTTTTTGGGCCTGGCTGCGACTCATTTGATGTCCCAGCCCCTGTCTCATAGGTTTCTTGTCCCGAGCCGGTCGCTGCTTTGGAGGGGGAGCCGTCGAGGATGAAGCCGAAGTCGGCACTGGGTCGACCGTCAAGGCATCGATCACCATCTGGTCGCGAGCCGTGACAATCATCCTGACGATGACTCGAACCAGACGGCCCCAAGCTCGCTGACACCAGACCGAACCACGATGGCGCACTTGTCGTCGGCCCTGCTCCAGCTCTCCGTGCACAAGCTCTTGCACTCGCCGCTGCATGGCACGAGGTCACAAAGAAGATCCTAGCCAAACCGCTCAGCATCGAAGCTTGGTTGCTCTGGTTTTGGGCCCAAGCCATGAAATTGACCGACCTCCGAGGCACCTCTCGATGCGCTTCCTCGCTCAACACCGCAAACAGTCTGCTGCACTTCGCACGAACACGCTGCCATGAACACAAATTGGGCTGATTTGGTGGGTGCACATCGACATCGAAAACTCCATTCTCCCCAATAGAAGAGAAAACACCCTCCAAATCATGCACGGCACTGGCATCGGAACTGTCTTGCAATGAAAAATGCTGAGGCGCCTGGCCGGCCCCGGTAGCCGAAGGCATCGCTGAGACCTGACCAGGTGTAGCACACAGAGAGGTCGGGGAAGCCGTAGTCGCAGAAGGAGGGGTTGAGGTTTGTTGAAACACCACAGTACCCGTCCAAGGAGACTCCAACTGCCGAGACCCAAGACTACCCTGCCAAACATCATTGATCACGTAGGGAAGCTGGTCGGGGAAAGCATCGAAGAAGGTCACACGAGTGGGCTCGAGAAGGGCTTGCATGTCGGCTGGCAAACATTCTGAGGGAACAACCATAGTATGACGAGGCCCTTCTAGAAACCCAACTTCACGCATGTTGCCACTTGGTTGCCGAAGCCACGGGTCTTTGCCGCCATGCTGCAGCTCTCGAGGAAGCTGCCATCGACCGTTGAACTCGATGACCGATATAGCTCTATGACCTGAAGGAAGACGCTGCATTGGCGTGGACCGGCCTTGGCGAGTTCGAACCTCCTCTCGGTCGTAGTCAATGACCATACCCACCAGCTCCTGGAACGATACTGGGAGTAGAAAAGGGGTCTCAAACCCAGCAGTGTCCTTCACCTCCGTGACACGCAGAAGACCATTCGTCTGGCAGACCCCAATCGGAACATCCCAGATGTTCGAAACTTCTGCCGAGCCACCTATGCCGGCACACGAACCAGTGGGCCCTTTCACCAAGACAGGTCTGAGCCCTTGCTGTTGCAAGGTAGCCTTCAAACGACTGAAGGCCTCGCTCCCAATCACGCCTTCCTCGGCCGCGCTGTCCACAAGACCCTGTCCGGCACTGGTGCGGACGCCTGCAAAGATGCTGATTGGGCCGGGGCTAAAGGAAGCCTTGGAATGCATGAAGGTCCGGTTCAAGGCTCCTTGCCCCTGGCTGATCACGAAGTTCGCTCGCTGGTCTGCACTCGCCGTCTGGTTGTTCGGACAGTCGCGGCTAAAGTGTCCCAGCTCGCCGCAGCCATAGCACCTTGTTCTGGACAAAAGGTCATCGGCAGTACCACGATGCCCGCCTCGACCTTTGCCCTTGCCAAACCGGCCTTGGGATCGTCCCCGGCCTTTCGCTCCTCGGAAGGCTGGAGCTCCCTTCCGGCCTTTGGTCTTTCCTTTCCCCTTTGCTTCCGTCGGCTTGTAAAACTGCCGACCTTTCCTCCTTGCTTGCAGCTCACGTCGAACATCTTGGTAAGCAGGATACGCTGAGTGCTCACCGGGGTTCATGTCGAGGAGCAGCTGGTTGTAAGCATCGTTGTAAGCCCATATATACAAGGCCTCTTCTTCATCATATTCTCTGTCCGCCTCGTAGAACATGTAGGGCTCGCCGTGCTCGTCAACCTCCGGCTCCTCGTAGTAACCTCCGGGAAGTGTCTCGGCATAGTCCTCCCACTCAGCTGCTGCAGTGTCCCCTGGCTGATAGCCCTCAGCCTGTCGTCCTCCTCCTGGAAGTAGGTGACAGCAGAACCATTCTCCATTGCAGCCACCAAGGATGAGGAGGTCATCGGCTTCAACAGCGCGTCTGGCCTATCCAGAGGCCTCAGGGCTCTAGCCACTTCATCAAACCCCAACAAGGCGTTGTGCTTGATCGCCATGCTTTCTCGTTGAGCCTCTGTTAAGTTTGCCTGGCGCATGAGGATGCGCCCTGCGATCTTGTCCGGGATGCGCTCCCCGGCGAGGTTCTCGACCTCCTGCTTCGCCAGCTCCTTTGCAGCGATGAAGGTGGAAAAGGTCTCGTTCCGCTGTCTCTCGCCACTGTAAAAGTACGCGTCCACTGCTGCCGGAGCCGCTGCTTCCAAGTAAGGCCGAAACTTCTCTAACACCGCCGTAAGAATCGCACCGTACCCAGCCTCGGACAGGATCACTTCCATAGGCAAACCCTCCGCGATGCGCCGAGGAATGCTCCCTTCAGGAAAGGCCTGAAAGAGCTTCACGCCCCATCTGCTTTTCGGCACCTGGTTGTCTACTTCCCAGAAACTCAATTGCCGAAGCCAAGCCCTCAGAGTTGAAGCATTCCCTGCCCAAGAGGGCATCAACTTCTTTTCTCCAGAAACAGCCATAGTCAAAGCACGCACGATAGCATCACTTGTGTCCAAACTGGAATGGCCTCGATCAGAGGGTGCCTTTCGGCCCAACAGCTCAAAGGCACTCTGGACCCCTTGAGGGCCCGGGCTTGTAGACGAGCTCCCGGGTTGCCCGGCAGCTCCCAAGGCGTTAGCTGCACTGCCAGCAATGCTGGCTCCACATGGTTGAGTCGCTGCCTGGCCGCCCGAAACACCTTGACCACCATCTACGTTCGCAGGAGCAGTCGCAGCAAAAGTCAGAGCAGCCGTTCCAAGCAGCGGTTGACCGGGAGCTAGCGGAGAAACTGGGCTCATGGGTGCACTTCCTGCACCAGGTCGCAGTCCCGCCTGACTCGGGCGTCCAGTCGCAAAAGCCACTGGGCCAGGAGGCAGGCCAGGAACCCCAAGACCATATCCTTTCCCTTGCCAGGCGCCAAGGAAGGTACCTGGAGGTCCATTCATGGTCCCGGGCTGGAGCGCAACGGCTCCGCTGCCACTGTAAACTGACAGCTGATTTCTGGACTCCAATCTTCACAGCACTTACTGCAAACGCACATCCATGAGGATTCTTTTCACAGCGCACGCCTAATGACTCAAGGCCTGGTTTCGAGAGGAAGGGCAACAGCAGACAGCTCATGAGAGTGATGCTTTCCAGGAAACATGCAACATTACATGTTAAGCTTCACACAGCCAGGAACAACGGAGACCCGACTCCCGGAAATCATGACGAGGTGGCCTCTACCCATGAGTATCCGCGCTGTGTATACATGATCCTTAGGCCGATGCGACGCTGCAACAAGCAAGTAGGTCTCTCAGAGAGGCTTCGCTTTAACACAACAGATCGCGCACCCAACTGTCATCTCACACAGCGACACATGCCGACAAACCCTCTCGCGAGCCGAGCGGCATGTCCGTTTGGAATATAGCAATGTAAGGTGCATCACATTGATCCACCGCGTAGTAATGAGCCAACTCAATATCCGCAGTTTGCGAATCGTCAAATGATCTACCATGTGTATGACCTGGTCGGAACTTGTCCACGTCATCCCACTGCGCTGACATGTTGACACCTCGGTTGAAAACATTAACGCGAGGCAGATTCGCCTGAGACAAAGCCTTAGCCTTTCGAAACGAGCTTCAGCCACAACAGCATGTGCGAAAGTAGATGTCAAAAAAATCGTCCGGGGGGAGCAGCTGGGCTGAGCTGTGGGGTATATGTTCACCTTCGAGGGACCACGCTTGTACGCCGCGGAGTAGTCAACGGTCATCCAGGTATCAACGAAGTTACCCTTGACCAGCGCGTCTGCGACTTCTTGCATGGGTCCCATGAGGTCCTCTCCTGCCAGGGGCACTCAAAGCACTGGCAACTTGCCTCTCCATGAAATCGCTAGCAGACACATGCCAGAGCGATTTGCAAATCTGGCCTTTTGTGTCCTCGGCTCGTGAAGCATAAGCGGAAGCAAAGCGACAGCAATCGACAACTCTCTAGCCAACGGGTTGACGGTGCACTGCAATCGAGAAAAGGCACAATGCTCTTCTGACAAGGATCGAAGATCAAATATCGATTTCTAAAGTTGTACTCGTGCTGCCGGCTGAGGTGCTCCACCTTGCACCAGGCTTGTGAGAAGAGAGTTGCTCGGTGTGTTACCCGCTTCCTTACTTCTATAGACGGCACTGCAAGGCAAGCTGCAACAGGCCAACAAGCAGCAGTTAAACAGGACAAGACTACAGCGTCCTGCAAATCAAAGCTACCGAAGCCTGCTTCCAAGTGGCACGAATCTGCAGTTCACTGGCTGTTGTAGACACGGAGATCATGGCTAGGCACGCCATTTGAGGCTGGAGATTCAGCTTGGCCTGGCAGCCGCGAACTCAAACTGAAGTCCCCTGATGCCGCACTCCCCGTCTATGTATGTCTATTTTGCAATCTAGCACCGCTGCATGCACACCTAATGGCGAGATGAGGCCACGACTGCGGGCTGCACGTTTTTTGTCCTTGCCGCCTCCTGCAGCTCAGCCTGAGGACGCAGCTCGGTGCTGCGGAGTCCAAAGCCCTGGAGTGACCCTGCCAGCCTTGCCTGGGAGTTCTCTGGTGGGTCTTTGCCTTCAGTTCGTCCGAGCTGGATCAGTTGTTGCGTGCAGGGATTGCTTTGCTCTTTGTTCCTAATAGCGGGCAAAGATGCTCTCTCGGAAATCGTCTTCTCCAAACATGGCCTCAGCTTGGCAGTAACTGGACCAATACAAGCCTGGAATGACTCCCGCGCTCTTCTGAGACCTCCGCATTTATGTAGAGAAACAGCGTCAGAATGCCAGACATGAAGAGCACCATCCATATCCGAAAGCCGCAACACGCAGTCATGCCTGCCGACCCGACCCATTCTGCCGGCTCGATCCGAAAAGGCTGAAAGGGCCACACAGCATGGAGCCATGGGGTCCTCGATACCCAAGCAGGACAAATTTCAGACACCTGCGGCATGCTGGCAGAGTCTGGCTTGTAGTTCATTCGAAAGTACTCTCCTTCACAACAGTCCCTATTCGTGCTACTTTTTCACGCGATGCAATGACTCGAATGCCTCAGCATCTGCTCAGGGCCCTTGCCAGGTGCTCAACACCGCGCCGGCAGTCCTCTCCGTGCGAGTCATGGCTAAGATCCAAGCAGGCACTTGACAATCACAAACCTCGTGGCTGACCTAGCTTACGACAGCTCTTCCGAGTCGGGCAAAAACTGTCGGGAGTTCTTAGCCGCGCGGCAGCAGCTCCTCTGTGGAGCAGGAATACGCTATGCGGAGGTGGCCTTTCCCTTCCTTTCCAAAGACACCTTTGTCGAGGCAGAATGCTTCTCGCAACGGGAGCAAAAATGCACAGGCGCTTTGGCTTGGATCCTCACTAGTAATCACATGCATCGGTGGCCTCCATCTACAACGGCAATGTGGTGCTCGTCCAGGAGATGTCTAGCCTCAGAGGTTGATGGAATGACCAGCTAAACTCATACTTTCGGGGGGCGAAGGTCTGCATGCCGCAAGAAACGAGCTCCGCCGAATCCCCGAACGCAGAGACATCCGGGAAGACGTAGTAGGCACCTTCCGGGCTACCACCCGGCCTTGGAAGTCAGAGGAGCGGGTGATGGCTCGAGGGTCTCTTTGGGTGCTCCCGCTGATTGCTCGAAGTGTTGGATGTAGCAGTGGTTGCTTCTAGACCCTGCAGAGAAAAGCCTGCAAAAGGCTGTTTTTCCGTATCTGACACTGGGGACCGGTCGAACAGACCATGGTTTGAATGGGCAGGACACATGCGTTTACCAGGTGTGCCGCGGCGTTTATTTGCTTCATTGACTGAAGGCACTATTTCGGAGCGGTGCCCCCATCCGGCTTGCTTGTGTAAAGTACTGGCAGAAAATCTCGATCTTGTTCGAGCTCAGATAGAAATACATCAGGTCAAAAATAGATTTGACCTCGATTCAAAGATCGCTGCCACCTACGGACAAGTAGTGTTGCACAGGCAAAAGCAGTCGCGGTGGTGACCGAGGGCTCGACAAGTTGATGCCAGGGATGTTCTTCAGTCCTTGACTAGAAGACTCTTCGAGCTATTTTGTCAACAGCCTATCAAATCAAACCATCGGCAAAGATAGATGCCAAGGTGCCTTCTACAAGCACTGATCGTCTTTCGTTGTATTGCGCCAGCATTTCAGCCACGCAGTCTTGCGAAGAACGCAATGCAGTGGTTCCTGCGTGCTGCGTGAACCTCAGGAAAAAGTTGAAAACACGACAGCCGTTCTTTGCCACAGTGCCCTCTTCTCTCGGGCGACGGCGTGGGAGAACACGCCGAGTAGTAGTATCTGACGGACACTCACAAAAAGCTCACAAAGCGCGTGGCTTCGGACTCTCCACTGGCCTTGTCTTGGCAACTTGTACAGCAGCCGCGGCATCCGGACACAGAGCCCAACCAAGTCGCCATCCATCCATGGCCTTTATAGGTGATCACGATCTTCACTACTGCGTCTTACATCTGTAAGCATCTGCAGATGCTTGAAACACCACCGGCGATGAAAAAAACAAGCACGGACCATGGTACTCTCACCGTGCTCGAGTGCAAAACTTCAAGTCTTGGCAAGTCACGTAAGTTTTGGAAAACGTGCTCGCGGCAAAACAGCGCTCTCCCATACCTGACATGGTCCAGTCGAGGCGCGAAACACAGAGGGATATTGTAATCTCATCTTTCGGTCCCACCTTTGATGGCCAGGATGGATGGAGCGGTTGCTCCGGCACTGCCGCCGTAGTACAACCTTTGAAGAGCCGAGAGAAAGACAGAGAGAGAGAGAGAGAGAGAGAGAGAGAGAGAGAGAGAGAGAGATATATATATATATATACAGAAGATAGACAGGTGCCCGACCCCCTCAAATATCCATGCTTTTTCACTCTTTGCCGTGATTTTACGGCTTGGACAGTCTACCAAGGATAAGCCGAAACACAGTTCCCACTTGAATCGTAGCTTATCGGGTAAGGGTTTCCTATGAAGGAAAGCAAGAACCAAGAAGAATCGCCTTACAACCACCATATAGAATACCCCACTATATACCTGGAAGAATGTCATATGGCGTACCCTTCAGACTACCTTCCCAAATTTAGGCTACAGGATACCTTCTGTACAATACCTTTGGAGTGCCCTATAGAATACCTTATAGAAGGCCCTCTAGACTACCATCTGGAATACCATGTGGCAGAATACCTTACAGAAGACTGCCTTTGTAATATACTCTCCGTATACCATAAATATACCTTATAGAGTATGCTCTACAATACTTTTTGGGATACCCTGTAGAATACCTTATAGAATACCATATAGCGTACCCGATAGAACGATTTAACTAGCGAAAATCAGGAGTTAAACTGTAGCTTAGTGAATAAGGGATTTGGAAGAAAGGAAATCGGGAATCTAGCAGAATTGTACCTCATGTATAACTTTATACATATATATATATATACCCTATATGAAATTTGGTGCTATCGAACCGCCTTTTTCCGAAATGACACCCTTCGGAATATTTGATGCGATCAAACCGCCACTGCTTGTGGCCCGTGTTTGCAATGGATACCACAGCAGTTCGATAGCATCAGTCTTTGAAGCAAACCCACAGGGAAATGTTGCAATCGAACCGCCGTCTTAAGGTCTGGAAGGCGCAGCGGTTCCGACAGCAACACATGTTTTGAAGCGACACCCTTCAGAAAATTTGGTGCTATCGGGGCGCCCTTCACTGTCCTCATTGTAGCTTGTTGAATAAGGGATTTATATGAAGGGAAACCAGGAATCTATCTAGACGAGCTGGTTTTGGAAGACCTTCCCCTTATATACCCTAGATATACCTTATTGAAGACCCTGCAGCCTATAGGATAGGATCCCTTATCGAACACCTTCCGGTATATACACCTTACAGAATACTTTATGCGATACCTGATGGAATACCCCATAGAATACCCAATACAATGCTCTATCAAATACTCTATATGATGTCTCGTGTAAAGAGGCTACGTAGAATACCATCTGGAATACTCTGTAGAATACCTGGTAGAATACCGCTTATATATGACACCTGCATACCTTATGTATACCCTATAAGAAAGTTGGCGCTATCGAACCCGTCCTCATTCTCGGAAAACCCAGCGGTTCGATAGCACCGAAATAGCAAAACTAGCCGAGTCTTTAGAAATAGCTCATTTCGGATAACTCGGACAATTTGGCAAAAAGCCAATTCAAATTACGTGAAATAGCTCGGTTGGGATAATTCAGATAAACCGTAGTAAAGTCTCAGAAACATCCGAATTATTTCAAACAGCGCGCCAAGCGGAGTAGCGGTTTTGAGACACGAAGGGCTGCAAAGTGAATGACGCAGTTGCTTCAAGTTGCTTTGCTATGCACACGTAGCAGATATGCACATGCAGACTGCTGCAGATGTGCACATGCAGACTGTCACAAGAGCCGTGGAGATAACAAAACCAAGAAGGGCAGAGGACCACGTTAAAATATTGAAACACATTGAATTTCTAAAAGGCGGATCCAAGATCCAAGATCCAAGATTGCGCGGGATTCCTGGGAGGAATCTTGGATTCAAGGAGGGCCGTATTGAAATATTCAGGCCATATTCAATCTCAATATCACAAATCCAAGATCCCTGATCCAAGATTCCTTCCCAAAAGTTCTGAGAAATCTTCGATCTTGGATCTTGGATCCGCCATATTGAAACTCAATGTGGCTCAATATTTGGATGTGGCCCTCCGCGGGGCCATATTGAAATATTGAGCCGCATTGGGTTTCAATATGGTCGATTTGTGTGGTCAAGAGGAGGTGATCTGAGACACGCGAGTGGAAGGAGAGGTTTGTGCGGTCATGAGGAGACGATCGTGAATGGAAGGATGCTCATGAGGAGATGATCGTAAGTGGAAAGAGCTGAAAACAGATTAAACGCACAGATCTTTGGGGGAGGGGGGGTACCATATGTATGTACATATCTATATAGATCTGAGAGATTGATTGATAGATAGATACATGGGTGTATAGATAGATAGACAGGTAGAAATACACTACGTCTGTATCTAAATGCTCGTCAGTTCGCCTGGTGTACGTTTCATCGCTGATCGCCATGAGATCCTTGGCTGCTCCATTCAGGCATGCAACAGCTTCAGACTTTCAAGGATGTCAATGGTCACCACAACGCAAACCCGGCAGACTGGCTCAGGCAAACCTGCGGAACCTCTCAATGCAGCCAAAAACGGATCCGAAAGAAGAGAAACCAGAATCCTGAAACAAAATCGCCGTTGATAGAAGGAACCTTCTCTTCAAGAACCTGGCTGATGCGCTTCAGCTCGTCGGATCCAGTGACGGTGCCCAGCGGATTTCCAGGCGAAGACAGCACGGCAAACTGCGAAAGCAGCAAAGTCTACGCGCAGAATGGATTTATGTGGTCTTGCCGTTCTACGGTGCACCAGGGATGCCAGAATGAAGGAGTGTACAGTGTACAGCAAGCTGCCAGCCTTTGTCCTGTGCGTCACTGCAGCAGCGATTGCCTGCAGTGATGGGAACATCCAGAGATGCTACAGACTATAGAGGCAATTCAACGAGCCTCCGCTGTGAGGACACCATTCTTCAAAGGCACCTCCACAGGCTTGCCACCTGCACAGTGCCCACGAGCAAACGCTTTCAGGCATGACCTGCCAAGCGCATGAAAGGCATCACACGAACACCAGCCTGCCATCACCACCGCCTGCCCAGCATCGACTTGACTACTTTCGTCTTCTCGCTTGTTCTGATTTCTCTCGCTGGCGGGTCTAGCCAAGCCGCCCACTTCATGTTTGGCCAGTTCGGGGTTGG